ATCAGTTTAGACTGTTAGAATACTTTTATAATTGTTAGACCGTTAGAATATTTTTATAACAGCTATAACGGCTATAATGGTTATAACTGCTATAATGGACTCATAAGCTTATAATCTAGTTTTTTTTAAACTTTATCTAGCCTTAAATCTCAATTAAAAAATATAATATACATATATAATAATAATTACATGCAGTAACTTTTAACGTTAACAAAGTTCATAAATATTAGTGTAATGGTTCTGTTCTAATTAATACTATTATACACTATATAATGTAAAAATAATATTATATATAAGGCCATGCAAAGTTAATTAATTGGTTCTCGTAACCCGGCCAAGTCAAATTTTGAAAATTTTTACAAAAATTTTTTTATGTTTTAATAACCGGGTGAGTTTTTAAAAAAATTTTTTAAGAAAATTTTACAAATTTTTAAGAAGTTCCATGTTACGAGAACCAATAAATTATATTTGTGTGGCCTAATTTGTAATAATTTTATTGTTACGTATAACTATTACGTAGACAATTTTTTTTAATTTATATCGGCGAATATTAATATCCGGAGTATTATATCTCAAAAAACTAAGAAACAGGGGTCAGGTGTACTAAGTAAATTGGTTTAAACTATTATACCCGACCCTATTGCAGTACGTATTAAATTGCAACCTAACCCTAAATTTGGCAAAAATACTATTCTTGATGGATCGGCAGTACGGAGTTAATAAAAAAAATTATTTGGGTACTGTTCTTGATAAGATTCTAAAAACGAACCCTAATCCTAATTGTTTTTTACTATAATAGTATAGTATTTTAGAGGTTCTTTTTTAGAACCCTATCAAGAACAGTATGTAGATTTTTTTTTTTTTTGCTATGTACCTATCAAAAACAGTACCAACAATCCATCAAAAATGGTATTTTTGTCTAAATTTGGATATAAAAAAAAAAACTCTTCTTTAATATAAATAGGGGTAGATAATATCCATTAGATGGATTGTAACACTTCATTAATAATCTGTACTAGTTATTGCTAAATACAATTATCAATTTCTATATATCCTATATATGCAATAATATAGCTTCATCAAGCAATACCTGAAAAAAAATCTCTTGAGCTTCATTTATATCTTTATCTATAATTAAACTACAATTTTTATATTTATAAATTTTTTTGAGTTTACTAAAATGCACCAGTGGTGTTCAACACCATAGTGATTTTAGCCAATAAAATTATTGATCTGTGGTGTAATGTCAAGATCAGGTGTAACATAAAAAATCAAAACAATCCTTTAATTTTTTAAAAAATCTTTAATAACTCAAAATTTTGCTTATGAAACCACCTTTTGTGTCTTAATAAAAAAAATTCCTTGCAAAATTTTGGTTATAATTACCTATATCCCCAATCCTAACCAATAACTCTAACCCTAATATTAGCTAAATTCTATCTTTTTTTTTATTTGTTTTGATAATCATATATAGCATGTGGTGTTGACATCACAGGTGTGCTTTAGTAAAGTTGAATTTTTTTTCTACCAATCTTTTGTATATTATCACATTGAACATGTTTTTGAAGTATATACCTCATCTTGGATCACAATTTTCATATCAATTTTTTTGGTTTTAAATTTTAGTTACTGTTTAAACATATAATATAACCATATTAATATGCTTTTCATGATTTTAGATTTGATTTTTTTTCTTTTTACTATGTTTTTTTACACCAAACTCTGGAATTATAACTACATTATAATCCTTCACAAGATAATTTCAGTCTTCTTATGGAGTTTATTTCTCAAATTTTTGATTTTTTGAAATATTTGAATAATAGCTTGGATGTTCTATAGAATAAGTGGGCAAACTGCAAACTTTGCAACTTCACTATTAAAAAATTAATGATTACTAATCATTAGTAAAGTTTATTTCTTATATTATCTATCTATTCTATAGAATATCTAATAGCTTTATTGATTTTCTTGGCCTTTTTCTTTTTTCTTCTAGATAATAAATTGTTTAATTTGTCTTTTTTTTGAGCTTAGTTTGTTAGCATAATATTCCAATCTTATCAATCTTTAAGAATTGTTCTTATCAATTTCAAGAGTATTCTTGGTTGATGAGTATATCACAAACAGAGTTCTCATACCCAGGTCTATTGTTACAAATTTTTCATGAGTTTCTTTAGCTTTTATTAATTTTTTATATGTTTATAATAAGAACCATTTATTTGTTTTATAATAATATATTAGTTTACAAATGTAATGGTTATTTATTGTTATTCTTTTTGGTTTTAAAATAGCCAGATTGTAAATCATACTTTCCCAAGATTAGCTTGTTCAGTTTATTCCTATCTGATATTATATTTTTATTAAATAAATATCTCATATAAAATCTTTCATGATCTTTTTTTAAAAATTTTTTTATATATATACTAATAGTATAGTTTAAATCTTTCTTTGGTTTGTATGATAATTTCAAACCTTTTTCTTTAATATTGTAATTTTTGATTGCTTCATCAATAGTTTTATTGATAATATTATTAGAAACTTTATCATAAACTTTTTTGATTTTTAATTTCAAGTATAATATTGTTTTTTTGAAAAATTTATTGATTTCCTGAATTTAATTTTATTATCATTGATATAAACAATAACATGATATTTTTTTAAAAATATTCAATAATCATGTTATAAATCAATCTCATCATTCTCATCTATCATTTCAATAATTATTTTTGTACATGATTTAGATACAATTTTATATTTATAGTTCAATTTATACTTTCAATCTTTTTTTTTTGTTTTTTCTCACTATTATGATTTTTCTTTTTCTTTTTTTCTCTTCTATGTTTGGCTACTTGTCTTCCTTGTATTTTACATATAAAAACAATGTTAATAGCAAAAATATTCTCAAACAGCTTATGTTTATCAATTGTCAAATCATCAAAGAAAACTACAAGTTTTATAAAATGGAATATGAAAATATGTTTGAAAAAATTATACATGAATCTATACAATCAATCTTAATAAGTAACTACAATTTCTTTGACATGATTATTCTAATAAGGTTTATAAACTTTGTATTTGAAGTTGATTCCAGATCCAATATTACTGATAAGTTCATAAGTTGGATACTTTTTAAGTAAGATTTCTTTTTGTTGTTCAAAATCCTATTTTTGTTTTTGACTAAACACTCACATGTATAGATAATTATTTTTCAGATGATGGTGATAATAAGATTATCAGAAAATAAATTTGTCATATTGTATAACCTAGTTCCTGATGCTGATGTTTTGAATTCAATCTTCCAAGTTTTTTTGTTGCTTTATAAGCAAACAGAAACATTTTTTAACTAATAAAGATAAAATACAAATCTTCTTATACATGTTTTATTTAATAAACATTACTAATTAAATAATTAATAAATATTAATGATCTTATAATTATGTAATTTATTAATATTTGGGGAATTTACAGATAAGGGCCCAAAAACAAAAATAACTACATATAAGGGAAATAATTACAGATAGAGGCACGATATTTGAAAATTATTACAAATAAGGGCCCAAAATAACTAGAACCTATGATTTAAGCCCGTTTCGATGATTTGAATATGGTTATAATATATGCATAAGAAATGTAATAATAACCCCTATAATAAACATAATATCAGATATAAAATTACCGATCGGCATGATTTTTATCCACATGAAAATGCTCATTCGGCCTTGGACAGTTATTTTATTGAATTTTCTTATAAGTTCAGAACGAACAAACAAAATAAGTTGTTGGCTATTTGTTTTACAAATAAAACCAGTTCTTGCCCTTTTACTATTTCAGTTAACAAGCGCCAAGATGGCTATATTCATAAAGTAAGAATGATTCCTCATGATCCAACTTGATTAACTTATATGGAAGCATTCAAAGCGCGTGGATCGTACCTTGCAAAGTTTACTGCGCCATTAATTAAAGATATGGCAGGACTTCGACCTCGTGATATTATAAATCGTGTTCGTTCTGAAGTGGGGCTGAGACATCATACACTGTAGCTTGGAGAAGTAAAGCTATTAGGCCGCACATAGTTAATTTTTCGTTTTGCATTGCAGGATTTCAAAAATCTGTCAGTCGGTTTTTTAATTCTGAATAATGAGCTATAACTCTAAAACATCTATTTAATCACGAAATGAAGCTGATACCATTACATTTAAATCGGCTAGTAATTTTGATGGTATATTTGGGCCCTTATTTGTAATTATTTTCATTTTGGGCCCTTATTTGTAATTATTTTCGTTTTTGGGTCCTTATCTGTAAATTCCCCTTAATATTTTTAAACAATAATACATACGTATTAAACAATTGTATTGTGTTAATAATTAAATAATTATTACGGTATAAAATTAATAAATGAGTGCGTGAGAGTGAAAACCTGGAAACCGATCATAGTAAATCATTAAATCGGTTTCCAGGTTTTCACTCTCACGCACTCAAATACTATACATATAACTATGTATTATACATAATATATCAAATTATTTAATAATTATGCTTAGTTGCTAATCACTTTTAGGTTCTTAATTCTAAAATAAATTAAATTGACCGGTTCTTGAATTTGATACCATACATTACCAAAAATAAAACATATAGGCTTTTTGGTTATTATCCCAAATGAAGTAGAAATCTCGATCTCCAAACTCAAATATGTAATAATGTCGTCATTCAAAAAAAGGGTTGGGTCGAAACTCTAGCTTCAACATCTCCTTCTGACAGAAAACTAGTATTACTAGTATTGACTGCATCTGAATCAGAAAATACCTCAGTAATTTGTGGTAAATTTGACTCATCATCTTTTTGTTGTTGAACACTTTTATTTTTTCCAACGTGAAAACTGACATGCAAAAGAAATTAGATATAACGATAACATGCAAATAACATATCTACAAATATTTCTTTTTTGAACCTAAAATACCTAATAGATTCTTCTTGATCTGTTTTTACGGGCTCTAGTTCAAAAGTATACTTGTAACGATGAACTTTGAGTCTACTTTTGTTTTTAAAGAAAACATATTTACGTCCATATTGCCAACTGTGTTTCTCTAATTATAAAAAATTTATTTAAATTAGCTTTAAAAACCAGCCAAACGTTCTTCAGATTGTGAAAAGTAGTATATTAACTGCATAACAAACTATATCCATCGCCATCCACTATTAGATTTTCTTCTTTCAATTTTATAAACGCTACAACCACTTTCTAAATAATAGTAAAAGAAAATTAAAATTTAGATCTTCGACACGACAAAGTAGCCACGACAATTACTTTTACTTCATCTTGCATTAATTGGTTACGGTTATAAAGCGATTCACTAGAGCTGTTATTTTAGGATCAAAGTTAAAAAAAAAGAGGCAAGCTTGCATCCATAATTTAACTGTTTCCAACAAATCGCGTAGGCTTATATATTTTAATAGAACCTGTTTTTAGACGACAACGTTATCTGAACTACTTGATCTGAAATTACAACGAGTCGAGTTTGGTTAAGAACAAACGGTGATATTTCCATTTCCATTTTATTATTATCAAGGTTATTTGAAAATTAAAAATTGTGAAAAATGACAAATCGAGTTTCGCGAAAATTGAAAATTGGACTCACATGGTTTATTATACCATGTCACGTGTTTACGCATTCTTATAATTAAAAAAATACATCCCCAGGAAATTATTGTATTGAATCAAATGTATTAAACATTTTGGCAACTTAAAGATTTTTAGAAACTCTTGGTCAGTTGAAATCCAACCTCCTAGTTATACAATACTATAAAAATATTCAGAATTAAAAAGTTTCAATGAAAGGACAGTCCAATTAAATCGTCTATCAAAGTTCCTAATATGTGCACGAATTAAATATAAGTGAAAATATTTAAAGATGTAAAACAAAAAAACATAAGATCAAAAACAAATACCTGTCTTTGGTGGGTCATTATTGTTAGAAGATCCACCACTTGCATCAATCAGATCACCGGTAATTTGGATTTGACCTTTCTGAGGTTCAGGATCTCCTAAATCAATCAACCATGACTCTGGCTGGCTCCCACTATTTCGAAAGTATAAGAATGCATTTAAATTTTAAAATAAATTTTATAGGATACAAGATATATGGAAAATTGAAATTACGTTGTGGAAGGTGGCGGAGGCGGAGGTAATGCATCATTAGGATCATTAAATACCCCATTTAGAATGTTTTGATATTTCTTCAGAACTGTGTTTATTATATCATTCAAATTCAACAGTCGATCTGTATTGAAAACAATAAGAGGAATGCGTAAGCAATCTAAATATGTAAAGTGAGAAATAAGTAAATACATACCAATACTTTCAGAATCTTCTTCTTCTGAAATAAATTTTTGAATTTTGGGTTGTACTGCCTTACAAGCTTGTGACAATTCCTATTATTGTGAATATAAATGTTAATGATAATACTGCTTCAAAATGCTAAAATGTCAAGATTAAATGAAATATCTGTTGCCTCAAATATATCTCCTTCACCAATAACTTCACCAGGTTTGACGTTATTAAGCATATCATTCAGAAGTATTGCCTTTCGTTGAATTCGCTCTAATTCTTCACCAGCTTGCTTTTTATAATCAGGTTTTACTTCTGGGTCCTAAAAAATAATTAAAGTTATTAACATCAAACTATGCATAATACAGTAGCAAGAAGTATATGACATACATAGCCGGCCATAACTTTCATTAATTCATTTGCTTCTTCCAAATCTGCAGGAGTACCTCTGCGAATTAATTCTTGCAATTTCTTTCGTTTCATAAATTGTAAAATAGACCGTCCTTTTTAAAGTTAATATGTTGTCTCGGAAGATATTAAGTATATGAAATTGTAAACAAAAAACGTTAAAAATACTTCAAATTTACCGCTGCTTGCGCAGCACGATCCTCTTCCTCCAATTCATCAGGTGATTTTAAAGTCTAAAGTTATTTAAGAATATGATTAATTATGGTATAATTTATGCTTTGGTAATCTATGTTATAGAAAATATACTAAGAAGTCATACATCAGTTGGGTTAAGGACTGCTGCAGATTGATCATCAATTTCAGGAAATACGTAACCTAAATCCAATGTAAAAAAAAAATAAAATAAAAGGCCGGATATCTATATTTTTTCATGATATAGTATAACTAACCTTTATGAAGAAGTAACCTATACATATAATTGATATAATGTAGGTCGTCCTTATGGCGCGAATTAACACAGATGGTCGACTTCCATTCTTGAATGTATTCTAATATTCTCAATTGTATTGGATTAGGGACCACCTATTCGATTAAGAACAAAAGCGTGAATAATTCGAATATCATTTGTTAACGAACAAAAGAAATTATGACAATACTGGAGGCTTTTCGGGAAATTTTCGAACAAGTTCATTTAAAAAATCTTTTGTAGCAATTTGTAGATGGAATGGATATCCACAATTCTTAACACAAATATCCAAAAGCTTAAAAAAAATAAAAAAAATAAAAAAAAAATAAATGAAACAACACAAAATAAAGATGACTAATCTGTTAACAGATCTTGAATACGAATGACAAAACAGTTTAATGATAATATATACTGTTAAAGCTAGCATGGAAACATTAGGGTTTCGATGATTTATAAGGCGCACAATGTGAACAGCTGCATCGCGTGGACTTTTTGAAAGAAATTTTATCAGAACAGATAATAAAAGAAGATACTACAACAAATATTAAAACATACTAATTTTGCTTTTTTTGATTAATCAAATCCGCGATCTCCAAGTCTAAAGCCAAATCTGGCTCAACCATTTGAGGGTTGCATGCTCTTTCTGCAAATTTTACGTTTATAGGAAAAAAGCAAAGCTTTGAATATTAAAGCATTTATTTCCTTAAATTCAATATTGCGTGTAATAATATTGTTTATGATTCTTAAGCCAAAAATCATTTTAAAACTATATACCTATGAAAGACTGTATAGTAGGCTTAGGCAAAGACGAAGGTATCTATTAAGAATTATGCAGGTGAATAAAGTGACCAGTTCAATTAGTAAACTATCATGATACCACTCACTTGAAGAGTTCCAAAGCTCATGGTGGAAATTCATCGAAAGCCTAAAATTGATTTGATTTTATACTTCTATTTACTACTTATCATTATTAGCGACCCACTTAATCTATATCACGTGGTGTTTTATAAAAGGTTCCGATTTTACACCCCGCATATCTGCGTGGCGATTATGTAAGACGAAAAATCAATATAAGGCCAATAATAATTCATAGACAGAAGTTCGTCTGATTGGCTAATGTAAATCAATTGCCCGGGTAACTTATTTATATGCTTTAAAGTA